TGGCCTACGGGGAAATTCCAACAAGAGGTCTGCTCCGAAGCGTTTCAGCTGTCTGTTACACAATGCAATGTCAGGACGTCGGAGCGTGTGCATTAAGTGTGTACAAATGTCGAGTCTCATTTCACCCGACAGATATATATACAAGAGGCCACTTGCAAAAGGTGCATTGCTTACTTACAAGGGAATGCACCATATTTGACTTCGACCTTGTTTGCCTCTTATGCAGATAATTTCTCTAATCTGACACTCGGAACGAATAGTTCAGCCTTCATAACCGGATTGTGAATTACGATTAGAAGGGAGTAAAATACCAATATCCAGATCTTAAAACGGATTTCCTTTCCTGTATCAAGTGTTCTCAAGAAAACGACAACAAATTACTAGTTCCCACGGTTAGCCGCATTTTTTAAATTTAAGGAAACTCAACTTATGCTTCTGTGCTGTGTAGAAAGACTTATTATTATACGTATTAAGTAAGATTTAAAGTTTTCACGGCGGTACGTCCGAAGATGACTGTCTTCTGGGTTTAAGCGCCGTGTAGTCTGATAGAAGTTTACTAACGTTTCATAGGTTCTTGCTGCGTCCATCAGCCCTGATAATAGAGACAACAAGGACCTCTGAAACGTTAGTAAACTTCTATCAGACTACACGGCGCTTAAACCCAGAAGACAGTCATCTTTGGTTATTATGTCTATTGACAATGAAATCGCCAAATGTGTAGATTAGTGACTGCTTTTCAGTAGCCATGACAACAAAATGTTTGTGTCTGGAAACGGATGAACAACAAAAACCAAGAGAGATACAGATTTGAAAAAGTATTTAGATACTTGATGTAATCCAAATTGAAGTTCTTTCAATTCCTAGCACGCGATAGAAATTTTTCTCTTCGTCTAGGCGTCGGAACCATCCGTGGGATATGCCCTTCATCGACTGAATAAAAGGGTCCCTTTAGCTTAGGGGTTGGGCCAGAGCATTAAGATAGTACCGTTTTCAGAGCTTCGTGCTTAATTAAACACAGGACAACTTATCTTTGCCCGTGTGTGGGTAAAGTCCTTGACATGCTCTGATCTGTCTGGTAGTTTGAGTGGAACTTCCACACGCCTACTAATAAGTGAAACTTGAATATGATTGACTATGATAATTTACTTCTAGAAATTACGTCTTGACACTCGGATGAACGTTTGGCAGGACTCATTTGTCGCAAGGACAAGACTGAAGGATGCTTACAAATATCTTTGACCAGACCATGTTTAGAATCCATGATATTCGTATGGATGTGACTGATATCGACTAAATTAATTAACTCCATGGAGAAGAGTTCATCTTGGAAATGCAATAATACGCTCAGCTTGACAAGAATTTACTCGGGTTTTATGAAAGTTGAAGGTTTATTACCGTGTTTAAAAGAGTCAGCCCCTGGATCCTATCATGAGTCAGATGAATCCATTTCACAACTCAATCGATTTACTTAACATCCATTTTCATATTATCCTCCCGTCTACACCAACGTCTTCCAGATAGTCGTTTACCTTCAGAAAAATTTGTGGAAACCTTTCTCTCTCCCACGCGTGCTACGTGGTTAGCCGAACTTATATTCCTCGATTTGATTTTACTTATTATACAATATTTGACTAGATCCGTTTATAATTTATTCTCGTGGTCACAGAGAACAGCATACGACAAAGTTTCTGAATGTACGTGCCAGTCGTGATGTGCGATGAATAATTTTCTAAGAATATACGTACGGATTATTAATTCCGTTTTATGTAACGAGGAACTGAGCACCTGTACGTGTTGCGTGCTCCAGGGAGAGCGGGCGAGTCCTATTCTGTGTTGCTCAACTTTCTGTTTGCAAAGTAGGTACCTTACACACAACTCTGACTGATATACCCCGACCGAGGCTAATGGTTACGCGACGAGACGCCATGCTGTTAATTCAACACAACGCGTTGCTTCGCGGTTTCATTTTGCTTCTAACCAGAGACTTCATCGTCCTCACAGGCTAGATAATCTCTGTCCTTTGTAGGATTTGAGGTTCTCACGGCGATGAATACAAAGATGGCTGCCTACTCACTGTCATTTGTTGGGATATACGCAACAGAATTTTTTTATAACGATGTTGTTGTTCTGGATCGTGACGCCGTGTAAGATTCGTAGGTAGGTGTCATCGTTTTACCTTCTACTTGAATGTACATTGACACTTGTTAATGCACAGAGAAGAATTAATATAGAATTATAGTTATCCATTGAACAGATTCTTTAATGTTTGCTCTATGAAAAATCGGAGATGTAAATATTCTGGTCTATACAAATTAATACGTGTGTAAATATTATCAATTTCAGACGTTCTGATCACATTGTTGCATCTTCCAGCTCATCCACACGTAAACTTTATTGAATACCAAAATATATTAACAAGTATCCGTCTGTATTTGATTTACAAACTCACTACTTGTTACTACGTTGATAAGTTTGCGGTCTTTTATAGAATCTGAAGTTTTATTACCATCTTCAAAAGCCAAACTCAGCGAGTTGAGTCTATTCAGAATTTTAACATTTCATTTATATAAGATAAAATTTAATATTATCTTCTAATCTTCGACTAGACTTTCCAAGTCTCTTATGTTTTACATACTAAAATTTGTATGTATTTCTAATCCCCTGACATTTGTGCTACATGCCCAGCCCGTCTCATATTCCATGATTTGATCACCCGAATAACATTTGATGAAAATTATAGCATATTACGAAGCTTCTAGTTAATAATTATTTATATTAATTTATTTTGTTGAACGTTGATATCCGGTAACGTCTGCCTACTGCCACGTGATGAAGAATAGCTTTGTCCATCCGTGTCGAATACAGACTCTTTTTTACTGCTTGAAGATGGAGAAAAGACCAGCCTCCGAAACGTCGTATACATATATTATCTGGATAATGGACGACACCCTCATCTCGTATAACGGCCTATAGTCCAAGCCATGATGTTGTTGTGTTGAGGAAGTCACGAAATACTTTGTCGTTAATAAAAAAATCCCTCATTTGATACTTTCGTTGTGCTGTGAGTAATAACACACCTTAAATTGCATGACCGTGTATGACTCAGACATCGACAGGCTTTGTTTCGATGTATCGATATTCATGTCATATCAGTTGACTCGATGGAGTCCTACTTATGTAAACACTTCGCAAACGCCAGAATTTCACTCAGCGCAGACCACAGTTTCTTGCACGCAAGTATTCCTACACGATAAGCGTACTGAAGTTCGTCTGTGGTCTGAAACACTGTATCTCAGATCAATTTATATATTTAATTCTTGTAACTATGTATATATTGGATTAACCTTCTATATTTATATTTAATCATTCGATGTAAATGCACAGGACAAAGCCGTGAAATGTTCGTGTTCTTTGTATAGCACTTTTACTTTCTTTCACAGTTGGACCGTTCCTAGTAAACGCGTTTTTCCTTCTATTGGCCACATTCAACGATTTAGTGACGGGAAATGCACGAAATACTCCACCCCAAGTCACGTCGTGAACCAGAAGCACGTCGAGTTATTCGGCCTGTGTCCGCAATATCGATAAGAAATAAACGCAAGTTTCTTCAGCTGTATGAAACGTCGTAAATTTAAATAGTCTTAAATCGGGCCGACGTAAAGTTGAGACCGTCTGTGTCGGTCTATATAAAGACATCGCAGTATAAATGTAAATTTGTATTTTATGAACGTTGTAAATCGGACCGTCGTGAACCAGAGACTTCTTATGTGTGTTGGGATATAAGAGCACATGACAACTAAGAATTATGTAATGATTACCTAGTGTCCTAAATCAGAAATAGCGTTGAAGGACTGTATGGGTTGTTGGCCTCGCCTTTCTGCTTAACCATTTACTCCATTTTATTGCGGAAACAAATACGTGTTACACTCGGTATATCGGACACCCTTTTTTACGGAACCTGTGCCCTAAGTTGAAGGCTCCGTACAAAGACGTAGTCATTTTTAAATGTTCTTTGCAGGCAGTGTATAAAATTAATGCATTTGACAGGTTGTGTGTTATAATTACTTAGCGGATTTTGATTGTGCTAAATTTGGTATTTGGGTGTACACTAAACATATTGGGGAAGTTTAATTTTGGTTCTTATTGAGCTAATATGACGTAACGAACTGATGCCCTGGTTCAGTTTACACGTTTGTAAGTGTTTTATTTATAACACTAGTTTAGTACTCTACCATGCTGCTGCGAAATGATTTTGAATTAATGTCATAGTAACTGTTGTTTTTCTATTAATTTATTCGTGTAGAACAAGTTTTATAGTGTCATTGCTCAGGGTCAGATCTCTCTGACCTTCAGTACCTGCTGTTGGTTTCCCAGGACGATGCTAACTTCAGCGTAAGACATGAAACGCTTTGGAACGCTACAAATCTAAACGGGACTAAAAAATGTTCCCTCTGCTGTCGGAATAAAAGAAAACTTTAATTTTTAAAAGTATTAGAACAATTATAAATAGTTTTTTCTTATATGGTATATCATTTGTGACCACTCACCACCACTGGGTTCAAACCGGCTCTGGGGCCAATCGATATCGAATTTCTGCTGGTTACACGGCTTCTTCCATGGAGATAAAACTGTCGAATTTTAAAGCTAATCACTCATCTCCGTCTACTACCGAGATTAAAATGCATGGAGCGATAACCCCCCCCCCCCCATATGTCTTCATGGCGTGGTGCTTAGTTACGCAATAAGGGCTTTTAATTACCTCAAAATATGAACGTACTGTTCTCTAGGTGGGAATGTTTAGTTAATTAATTTGTCTATACTGCACCCTGACTGTGCCACTGGTACTTGTTCGGAAGTACATTTGCACCAAAAATGTTGTACTCCTCATCAGCGCCTGCCTTGCGTAATCCAATTCTTTCATTACGGTGACGCCCCGAGCCGTGTGCCCTCACTCCTGCAGACTGGACAAGTCCACGTAGATCCGCACGGTTATAAAGGGATCCACGCTCCTGGGCATTGCATTATTCGTGTGCAGCCGTTCGTCAGAAGAACTTTGCGAAAGTTGTCGTGTGTTTGTTTGCGTTAAAGTGACAAGTGATTCCCCAAGTGTCCCAACATGAGGCAGCACTTGCAGGTACAAAACAGTGGCGTTCTTTATCATTCCATCACTCATTATTTGCTGTTTCTATTGAAATTACAATACAAATCCGTCTGTCCTAGTATTTGGCCTGACAGTACAATCGCGTGAAATGTGAAATTGTTAAATTTGGACAAATTGTTGGGAGTGAATAGATTAAAGTGGCTCAAGATATGGCGGGCTTTGTGTATCTAGTGACGAACTTCGGGTTCCACACAAACACATAATTTATTTACCATCAACGTTTTAATATTAAGGTAACATCCCGCGTCGTGGAGAGAATAGATAGATTAATTAGTTCGATTCTGTTCTATTTAAGGGTTAATTAACGATGCTGTCGGTAGGTCAGACTGTGGCATTAATATATTCAAATGATAGGATGATAATGAACAATAAATTAGCTAGAATGTGGAAGGAAACGCTTGTACATTATTTAAGCACTTTCCGAAAATTGCGTGGAGCGACTGAGGTGAACCACGAAATGATAATTTGGGATAGCTGGTCCTTGGACCTATATTTGAACTCAGGACTTCTTTAATACGAAACACATGGCTGTGAAGTTCGGTTTTAATTTTACAACAATATTTTTTTTTTAAAATTAGAGGTGAAATGGAGATAATGTTTATAATGAAAACCGTTGAAAAGTTGTTTTATCTGAGACAGAAGAAAATAGGACGACAATATTAAAATGGATCTAAACGAAGTAGGAATAGCTCACTAGCTCTGTGCTGGCGTGATGAATGTAATTCTGATGATGTGATTTGGGGTTTGATGTGTATGAATATGGATGTCTTGTGGGATATAACACTGTGTAGTCTGGTAGATCTACACACTGATGATGGAAGCAGTATGGTCCTCTGAAATGTCTGTCAATATTTAACAGAGTATGTAGTGCTGTATCCCAGAAGACAACCGTACAATTAAAAATTATTCTTCTACATTATTGGATAAATTTACAAAAATATATGTTTAAAATAATGAATTGTTACAAAGATTAGTGTATCCTTGGTTATACTAAAAATGTACGCAATTAAAACTGAAATTGGTACAAATGTCTGCATTGAGGATGTTTGCAATCTAAAACAAATACAGCCTTTCATTTTTGTAATTAAATTTATATTGATAAGTTGTAAGTCTACGAACTACATGTAATGTACTTTTGTAGTGTCAGATAGTACACATAACCATGATAGCTTGCTAGAAGTAGACGTCCTTCTTGTTTGTGATATAATTAATTGCAAATCCGCTCTCAATCCACCTCACGAGCCTTTCGAATGTGATTACGGTCTTCAACTGCCACGTTTTAGATCGCGGTCTTCGTGTTCTTCAAGGTGGTGTCCGACGTTTCAGAGGAACGCAAGACAGCACGACGTTACAAAACGGACAACCACAAAACCCCAACCCCACCATGTTATTCAGTATTACAACATAAAAATGTCACATTTTTTCCCCTTAGGAATATATTTTATAACTAAAAACTTGTTTGTGACGATATGTCCGTATATGCGTCAATTTGTGTATCAGCCTAATAAATTTGAACCATTTTGACAGACATTCATGAAATCAGGCATGAATATCATGTCACTAAACGTCATTCCATCTTCAAAAGTTATAATTTTTTCCATCAGTAACATCAACCGTGCGAAGTTATAGCTTAAGAGCGACACTGTCTTCGCTTAATGTAATATTCTGAAAGTTTAAGTGGTAATAGATATTCTAAAAAAATAATATTTTTTAGATAATTCTCGTACAGAATGTAAAACAACATGGAAGCCAGATTGAAGTTGTGTATAGACTATTTAATTTACGTTTTATGGCTGTAGCTAACGGTTCATTGGGGCTAGACAAATGGAATTTGGAATGGAGGTGTATCATAGACATTCCTGTTATAATTATATTTATATGCTAACAGTTGTCGCAGGCATGGCGATATTCTAATTTTTCTAACTACGTTTCTCAGCCTGTCAGGTTGCAACCAAAATGTTCGTTTGT